CCCCTCCGGTGCTCCAAGCCCGCCGGGGATGCTCTCCCTCCCCGGACAGGACACCCGGCCATGGGTTGTCCGAGTCCCGGGACTGCAGCTGGACTCTAAGCCAGCAGATCTCCTTTATAACCTTTCAAATCACTTCTTCTCGTGCATTGCTGCCTAGTTTGGTCTTTCTGCTCCTGAAAAGGTTTTCTTTTTGTAGCCATCACTTTCTGTCTTCCTGCAGCAGGCCAAAGATACTGCACAAACTCAAAACTTGGAAATCAGATTTCCTCCCCACCCCAAATAATGTTTGTGTTAACAAACCTATCGATAATGACAATTCTGAGGTTTTGAGTTGGTTAATGTCCTGTTTTCCCACAGACACTTTATAAGTGGTGACATCAGCACTGCATACTCTAGTAGGTTGCTGTAAATCATAATATATTTCCAAGAAATAAACATTTTGCTGAAGGAAACACAGATTGGTCCCGACCTGCACATTGCCTTTTCTTTTTCCGACACCACAAGTTTAAGTGATTCATGGACGGAAAAAATGAATTCAAAAAATAGCTGCTGTCTTATAGCAGCTAAAAAAAAAAAATCTTCAGGCAGTTTATTTCTACTAGGAGGTGCTCTTGGATCTGGGATTGGATGGGTGCAATTTTCAGATGCATCCTCAGTGTGTGTTCTCTTCACAGCGCTGTCCGTGGTTTACCTTAAAGCACAGCCCATGGAATCACAGAGCGACATTCCCTCTTCTTAATTTGGGCAAGGAAATTTGTTTATTGGGATTTTATCAGGACATCAATTTATTTATCAGGATTCCAAATTTATAGGTCATTTACAATTTGTAGGTAATTTGGTGTCTCATCTCTGTTTTTTGCAGAATTAAGTGCAAGAGGCAAAGATATTCCATTAAGTTAAGATCAATTAGACCAATAAGCTGAATGGAGTCCAATAATGAACTACTCGATATTCCATGCAAAATTCTTATAGCAAGGTGGGTTTTGTGTTTTGGATTTGTTTGTTTTTTTCTATGGCTTAAAGTGTACTTCTTGCATACATGCTAGATTTAAATGCAAAAACTTCTTTATGCACGTAGGGAAAACGCTTGCAGTTAACCCATTCCCAGTGGTATTCCTGCATGTACTTTTTGCTGGTTTTGAGCATCAGTGTGAAAACAGTCCAAACCATTTCTAAATACAAGAAATACTTGTAGCTACAGCTACAGGATAAAYCATAAATTACAATCCAGTTGGGCTCATTAGAGCTTATTTGGGTTTGTATGATTCACAGTCAGTATTTTTATCGATGCAGTGTTTCCTGAGGTATAAACCTTWTAAATCTTATAACATAAATCTTATTAAAAGACTGTAGTTTCTGGAAGACTGTGCAGGAAACTGGAAAGTCAAAAGTCCAACAAGGCCAAAGACTGGAAAAGCTTAGCACAAGGTGCCTTTATTTCCATACCCTGTTAGACCTGTGCGTCCTTGGTGCTGCGGAGTGGGTCAGCTCCTGCCAGCTCCTTTCCTGATCGTTCCTCCAKCATCCTCAGTCCCGTTTCCCGGCGGGACTGGGCAGTAAAGGCTCTGTCCCCAGCTCAGTTGTGCAGTCCTACACRGTGGCTGTCCCATGGGGTCCCTCACTTCAGCAGAGCCTGCAGCGGCACCACCTCGGGAGCGCTGACTTCTGGCGGCGCTTTCACTCTGGAAGGCAAAAAACCATCTTTGGGCTGATGGACAAAAAAGCGCCACCCGAGCGTCCCTTTTCCATTGTCACCCACAAATGGGGGACAGGATGTCCCCTGCGCATGGAGGGGACTCACGGTGGCTTCTCGATGTCCTCGATGCCCTCGGGAAGGCGCACGTTGAGCGTTTCGGGCAGCAGGAAGGCCACGGCGCCGCTGCACACAGCCAGCCCGCAGTAGGTGACCTCGGGCAGGGACTGCCACACCTCGTCCAGCAGGAACACCAGCGGGGCCAGGGCTCCTCCCAGCCGGGCCATGAACGATGTGTAGCCCATCCCATTCTGCCTGGAAAGGTGCAGATCACAAGAAAGAGATGGTAATTCAATCATACTGGATCTCTGCCCATTCCCCCAAAATTTTCTCTAATTGTTGAAGCTTTTTCCTCTGACATTTTTTTCTCTCCTTTCTTCATATCTTCCTAAAATCTTAATATTTTYCAGAGAGCGACTGTAGCTGCTGTGAGAAATAGATTTGTATCTATCGTGAGAAAGAAGCTGCAGTTCCACACTAAATAACCTGTTTTAAAGTTGTTTCCACTTGGAATATCAAAACTCTGAGAGCCTTTTCTAATAGTGAGTCCTCTGACCTGCTTAGAGCAGATCCAAGTTCCTCCTTCTCCCAGTTAACCCCTTT